CTCCTTTGCTCCTCTTTTAAATATATATATATATATATTAATTGATTTCAGAGAGGAAGGGAGAGGGAGAGTTAGAAACATCAATGATGAGAGAGAATCATTGATCGGCTGCCTTCCACGCCCCCTACTGGGGATCATTTGGCTTTGCCATCCATGTTTTGAGTGATATTGGTTTGTAATTTACCTTTATAACACGAGAAAAGGTTTTGGTGTCAAGGTTGTACTAATTTCTAACATAAATTGTGGAGTAGTGTTTTATTTTTCTTCTATTCTTTGGAAGAGTTTGTATAAGATTGAAGCCATCTGTTCTTCAATTTTTTAAACAAACACAAAAGTGTAAAAATTACAAAGGGAAAGCTAATTTTTTCCTCCTGCATTAGAATTAAGAAGTTCTATTCCTTAGTATAATATAAAGAGAGTGAAAATATAACTGAGAGATCATTGTAATATGTCTAATTGGCAAAGGACTAACATGTGCCGATTACCTTAAAATTTCTACAAATCACTAAGAAACAATCAAATATAAAAATAATCTACATAATTTCATCCTAATTATTGTTCCACTTATCCTATGTAGATAATAATTTTATTAATTTCATTTAAATCACTCCAGTGTAGTATTTAATCTTGTAGATTTTTATTGTTTATTTAAGCAGTTTCTTATTTTATGAATATGGATTTTCCCTAATTTTTTGCTATTTTTAAATATTGCCACAGGCGCTCTCCCTCCCAGGAGCACACATACACCCCCCCCTTTCTTTTCCTTTTTCTTCTTCTCACCCGCCCCCCCCACCCCACCCCCAGTCACTTTACCATTGGTTTCCTCACTCCAAAGCTCCAAGGACCCAGAGTCATCTGATCTAGTTCACGTTCAGATGGACAACTCCATAGGAAGCTTCACTTCGAGCCAGTTGGGTAATCAGCTGGAGCCTTTGGGTTTGCAGGAAGCAAGGCGCTTGTTTAAAGAACAGGCAACGTACCCAGTACTGGGCCGGCAGAATTCGGTAGAGAGTTTGTGATTTCGCTTGAGGACCAGTGTTGTCCACCAGTGCAGGCTCTACCTGGCTAGGACGCTGTATGATGTGAGAAACTCCGCTTACGGGGCACAGCGACGTCTGACACACCGTGCTCGACCTCAAGGGACATTTACTTCTTGAGCTCTTTGTACTTATAGAGTATCTTTTCTTCTGGATCTTCCTTAATTGTTCATCCTCACGGGGGATGGGGAGCAAACCCGCAACCCACAAGCCCTTGACTGGGAATCGAACCTGCGACCCTTCCATTCGGGAAGTGGGGGGGAGAAAGAGAGAGGGAGGAATGCTCTAACCACTGAGCAACCGGCCAGGGCAAAACCTTAAGACTTCATTTTGCTGAGTGGGAGCGGGGACTTTGAAATCTCGGGACCCAATGCATTCAGAGGAGCCCCCAAGGCAGACCCTTCCCACGGACGGCTATGTAAATGAGAACTGAGGTTTGCTCTTCTGATTGGGGAGAACTGGAGAAGGCGGTCCCCCTGCCGGCGTGTTCATTGGGAGCGGGGCCTGCCTATCACCGGTAACCGGAGCCGAGAGCGTCCCGGCGGCCAATGGGAAGGCGCTGCCGGGCGGCCGCCAAGT